GAGCGGTTCCCGTGGTCAGGTCGGGAGGGCGAAGAACGGAGTAAAACGTGTGAACCAGAACCGCGGGGAAGGAGCTTCCATGGACGCAGAGGCTGAGGCTTGATGAGAAATTGCTTTCTTTTGGCCTCTTTGTGCTCTCACTAATTTGGTATACCGGAGATAACCGAACCGGTTTGTTGGTTTTGTCCGGTCTAGCTTTTCATTCATTCTCGTCATCTGGGGTTGGTTTTGGTATTTATAATGTATATCTGGAGTTTAAAGGCTTATTTGATTAAATAAGTTTTGTTTTTTGAACAGATATTTGCTAATATTCTTTAATATACATAAAGTCTGCATTGCCCTCTGAAATCACTTAAAAGACATGTGTGTTCTTGTGCGATATTAAATTATTTTTTATTGTGTTTTTTTATTAAGTTTATAAATTACCATAAAATAATCAATAGAATGTAACGTCGTTTGTTTGTTTGTCTTTTTTTGTTAAAAACGTCGTTTGTTTGATGATCAATTATAATTTTATTTTAACCTTTCTCTAGATTAAATTGATATCGCACATATATATACATATATATATATATATATATGTATGTATTGTATTCAACATATAGTCCATATGCTGCAATTGAATTGATGTGTGGGCGTCTCTCTTCATTATGCACATACACACACGCGTGTGTATATATATATCACAGATGCATATAATTATTATGTTATATATATTACATATGCATATATTAAAATGATACTTTTCCCCCCTATTTGAATATGATATTATAAAGCATCAATGTGTGTTAAAACACTTTTAATTTTTTTCATCCTTTTTTCATTAGATTGTAAATAAATACAGTTTTAATGGGCTTATGTTGTCCGAAACCATAAAAGCCCACGGGCGTCCTCTAATGTTTTAAGCCCATATCCATTTGTTGTTTTTCTTCAATTCTGAATTTTGTTAACCAAAATACTATAAAAATTAATTTCTATACTTTTTTATTTTTTTTATTCAAATATCTCGATTACTAAAAATTAAAATCTGTTTTTTAATAAATCTAAAAAAATGTACGTGATTTAAATCTCAATTTGATTCAAATATTTATGTATATAAAAACATACTAGTTGTGAAAGAAATGTCAATTTTAAATTCCTACTGTGATTGTACTAAAAATATTATTAATTGCATATAATATAACAGAGGAAAATATTTTATATTTTTCTTAATTAAGCAACAATCCATGATGCACAATTAATGAAAAGAAAAATCTGGCATGTTTCAATTTTCTTTTAGCTGTGACATGACCTAAAAACGAAATTAAAATTAAAATAAAAAGCCCACATAATCATCAACATCTTCCCACATCCTCTCTCACGGGCAAAATAAATAAAAAAACGGCTATATATTTTTTTCCGGATATAAAATTACCTTATCGCCCTTTGGGATTTATAATCTGAGAGAAGATCCCACTGTTGTCATCAGAGGACTGGTCACTGACGTCGTGGTCTTCGCTTCGGTTGTTTGCGCCGGCGACGTGGACTGCTACCGCTCCACCACCCGCAAACTCATCGGATCCGCCGCCTTGGCTCGGTTTACGGTGGTGGGAGCCGTCGGATGTCTCTTGCAGCTGGAGAGCGAACTCAAGATTCCACAAGACATCGCCCATCGTCGGTCGTTCTACTCCGCTATCGGAAAGACACTTCTCCGCCGTGTCTGCGAATTTCCTCAGGCATTCTGGGTTGATCTTGCCCTTCAGGTTAGGATCGATAATATCTTCCAGAGTTCCTTTTTTCTTACAATTCAGTGCCCAATCTGCTAGACTTACTTGTTCTTTAGATAAATTCGGGTTTAGAGCTGGTCGAGCGCATAGGATTTCGAACAGAACAACTCCGAATGAGTAAACATCAGATTTCTCAGTCAATTGTTGTCTTCTGAAGTATTCGGGGTCTAAGTACCCGAAACTACCCTTGACGACGGTCGTGACATGTCCTCCGTTCATGTCTGGTCCAGTTTTGGACAATCCGAAATCTGAAACCTTTGCGACCCAGTTTTCATCTAGTAATATGTTAGTCGTTTTCACGTCTCGGTGTATAATCGTGTACTTTGCCCCTGTATGAAGGTAATGTAGTCCTCTGGCTGCTCCAATGGCGATCTCGAGCCTTCTTTTCCAAGTTAACTGTGGTTTCTTCGTGTTGTACAGGTGCTCCCGGAGTGTTCCGAGGGCCATGTAATCGTAGATGAGACACATTTCGCCCCCGTCTTCACAGTATCCAATTAGGGATACCAAATGTTTGTGCCTTAATCTTGAAAGAAGTTCGATTTCTGTCTCGAACTCGTTGATACCTTGTTCTGAATTCGGGTTTGACCGTTTTATCGCCACTTTGGTGTTTCCATCTATAACCCCTTTGTAGACCTTACCAAACCCTCCAACGCCAATGACGTTGGACTCATCGAAGTTGTGGGTGCCGTGTTTAATCTCAGATAAGGAGAATCTGCGGCATAAGCCTGCTGCAAGATTGGATAAGTGACTTCCATTGTTGCTCTTCCCCGATATAGTAGATTTGGTTCCCGAGGTGTGAGAGTTTCCATAAATGGGAAGCCAACTCGAGGTGTGTGAATCGCTTCCCGAGAATCTTCTTTTTCTTTGATAAACCGTGAAGCACAGGGCAAATGCTAGAATAGTTGCAACTCCTCCTGCTTGTCAATCGCTGAACCGATGATGAAAACAGTTTTTTTGTCATTCCTGAATTCCTTCTGGGTCACCGCGTTAGCCTGCATTGGAGATGGCTCCGGGTTCGGACCTGCAAGATTTTTCATGGAATCCATCTTGAAAATCTCTAACCCATTAAGCTGAGAATCCAGATATTCTGGTTTAGATAATGCCGATGGAGTCATCTGAAGTGAGATCTCATCCCCTCCATTGTTGGCATCGACATACATGGCATAGTCTTTGTAAGTCGGGACACCTTTCTCTCCTGTCCACGCAATAATATCTGCCGGGGTAGGATCTGCCTGTGCAGTTTTATTGTTGATGTAAATGTTGAAAACCTTCTGGTTGATCTTCGAAAGTTGGAATTCGCAAAAATGCAGTCTCATGATGTAGGTGAAATTTGTATCAACCTGAAACATCCATGTAAGATTTGATTTGATGTTGATATCTCCAGTTGGGCCTTGAGATCTAGCTGTCTTGTACACATCGGCTGGAGCTGTAGACACAGGCATTTTTTGGTAATTGATCCTGAATTTGTCGCTTGCTTGAAGGGTAACACCGAGGCCTGCGCTGAAGATGTAAGGCGCATCATTGTACCAGGTTCTGATTAACCCACCAGCGTCTTGGCTACCGGGGATGTCCTGTCCACCAACATTAAGTCTAAACATTGTCTGAAGATTAGCGATCTTAGCATCGGCTGTCTGGTCAGAAAACCCGACAAGAACAGCTGAGTCAAACAGTTCCGGCATCTCAATGACCTCGATACCGTTTATGAAGGCAAATGTTTTCTGGTACTTGTCCGAAGGGGTAAATGTGATGCTCAGAACGTCTTTGTCGGTAGGCGCTAGAGAATACTCTCTAACCAGGTAAGCTTGTGTCAATGCCTGACATGTGATCGCAGCACTAAAATTACTCAGAAGTGCAACATCGTTTGCTGTGACAGAGAAGTACGAGTTGGAGATGTCAAGGCCTGTGTACGTTGAAGGGTAGAAGTGAAACCGGAGGTAATGCCTTTTGTCTCCTTTAACCGGAATTTCATATGTTGTCGGAGATGTAAATATTCTGGCTGTCATGTAAGGAACTGTCGAAAGGAGGGAAGGGTCCTGATAGGAAGCGATTGCCTGAATCGAGTTTCCTGATTTGAGAAACTTTGCATCCGGTTCCCATTTTCTCTTGTCTGAATCATCCGCTGGTTCTGATGCACCACAGCTTAGAGCCACATTCTGACCATTTGATCGAATTGGATAAACCAGGAGAATCGTGAAGCATAAGAGAGAAACTAGAATCCGGGTCTTCTCGTTCATGGCTGACACATAAACGGGTAAAACTCCGGCGTAAAGGAAACCGGGAAAACCTTATACTTCTCTCGCAAGAAACAAGATTCAGGAGGGTTTCTCTGTACGCTTGTCTGAATTATAAGCAGACCGCTGGATGATTGTTGTCTTCCTTTTACGGTCTAACCATGCCTGATCAAATCCATGGAAACAGAGGACCAGACTTCCCTGGATCAACAAGATGCAAAACCCGGCAAAGTACGTTCTTGTTGCTCTTTTCTTGCCTTTTTTTCGAGTTTGTCTTTTCGCGTCTTGGTTACTGGGTTTTTCTCCTTTCCCGGTGTTCTATCAGAAAGAGAAACTGATGTAGTTGAAAACCTATGGAAGGGAAAATAACCCGAAAATTCGGGCCAAAGAAGATAGGAAGAAGGCTAAATTTAGCATGTGGTTAGCAAAGTCGAAAAAATAAGAGAAAATAGGAAGGCAAGAACCGCTTTATCTTTGACTCCATAACGAAATATTTGCAAGTTTCATATCATTTTAGTCCAAATATAGAAAGTAGAAACAGATGAATCACACCCTTGTTGATTATCTGATCTTTGAGCTGCCACCAGTAAAACGCGGAGAAGCATTCCTTTCATGGAAAATTAGCAAACTCGTGTGTTAGATAGCAAAGAATCTTGCAGAGGCCGTGAGACCTGAAATAAACAAAGCAAGCTCCTAGAGATCTGGCTGAGTCATTCATCAAATTTACCAATGGAGGAAAAAAGCTCGACCATTCATCATGGAAATCAATGGTGGAAACCGCAAGAGGATTCCCCCATTAAAGCTCCTCAAGTCCCCTTTGAGTTCATCCGGTCGGGTTGATAAACTAGAAGGCTAGGAGAGCTTAAGTCGTAAAAAAAGAAGGGCTTTTAATCAACCCGGCCCGCCAATCCTTCTCCGTTGGCCGCGTAATCAGGTCAAGCGCGGCCAGCAGAGGGAAGAACACGGAAAATCCAGAAACGGGTAAAGGGATTTGCATCGCAAGGTATATTCCCCCGATTCAATTTGACAAACCCTAGCTTCCCAATCACTCGTGAAAAAATGGTGAGGAGAAGAGAAGGTCTTAGCTTGTCAATCCTGTCAACTCCTTCCCTCCCCGAGTCTGCTGAGAGCAGAACAACGCCGTCGACCTCCAACAAATGTAAGCCACGGTTGTCGAAACAGTTGTCGACTTGCGAGACTCCACGGGATGTTGCCTGGGAAAAACGACGTCGTCAGGTGATAATGATTCAGGACAAGAAGCATAAACACGTGTCTGAAAATGTCAGCAATCTGCCGGATCTAACCGACGAGGACTTACGGGAGCTTAAAGGGTCTATCGAGCTGGGTTTCGGGTTCAATGAGGATGCAGGGCAAAAACTATGCAACACATTGCCGGCTCTAGATCTCTACTTCGCCGTGAACCGCCAGCTCTCACCGATCCCGTCGCCTAGCAGTAGCGGCAGGCACAGCGTATTGTCTCCCTGGTCGAGTAGCGTACCGCCTAGTAGCCCGAAACCCGACTCTGACACACTGAAAATCTTATGCCCAGGTGAAAAAGTTCATGAATTTGCCACTTACCCATTTGCGTTTGAACTCGGTTTTTGAAGATCTGAGAATCAAACTGCAAAAGTCTCAAATCATTTTAATATGAAATGATTCTTTTTGTTTGACCCTTTTCTTGGGTGATGGTGCAGGGGACGATCCTCAACAGGTGAAAACAAGATTGAGGCATTGGGCACAAGCTGTTGCATGCTCTGTCATGCAATCTTACTGAACGCAAGCGTGTGTGTATACGCGATTGTAAGCTTCGAACATTTGATTTCTCAGACAGCAATAGGACAAAAACAGGGGGGGGGGGGGAAGAAGGAACCCTACTTGATTTAGGATCATTCTTGAAGAGAAGCAACAACAGAAGCCAACAACAACAAAAAAACACCAAGAAATCTGGAGAGGAACCCAAAAAAAAAACGGATGTGAAGGGGGGGTATATATACACTGTATGTACTCTGACAAGAGTTGCCACTTGTTAAGATTGCAAGTCTTCCCGGTTCATGGCTCATGTTCAAAAAAAAAATTTACATTATGGTTGTGGACACCACAAATTGATTATGAAGGCAATGAAATTTGTTTGATAATTTTTATTTTATTTTAGCATCGCTTGAGAAAATAAAGCATATTAGAATATCTATAAAAAAAAAGATATAATTAATTATGAACTAAGTAACCATCACAATTCACAACCCATTGTCATTGCATTCAAATAACGGAAAAAAAATAATTTGAAATGAAAAACGGATAAGAATTTTAAGATAAGGAAAATTCAAATGATTATTTTTATTATCATGAAAATCAGTTTGTTTATGGGTGAACAAAAATATAGCTTATTATTATACACAAATTGCACGTGCAATTCAAGTGTACACAAAATTAAACTCTGTAAAAAAAAAGAATAGATATTATAAATTCAAATAAAGACATATGGTGGCGACTAACAGAAATTCGTAGATATAAAAAGATGACGAGACCGGAAAAAAAAAAAGAACAAACGGGTCGGGTCGGGTCGGGTAGGGTATATTTGACATTCATACAATCTTATTGGGAGGGACGGCAATTTCTGTCCCCTGGGTGAAGCTTGGTTCTGTAAAACCAATCTTCTTTCTCTTCTTCTTCGGAGCGATTACTAAGGTACCTTCTGCTCATCTTACGTTTCGATTTACGTTTGGCGCTGCTTCGGTATTGTGATTAAGCATTCTAATATCTGGGTTTTGCTTGTCTAGGGTTTTGTCCGTTTCGTACATTTGCCCTCGGCGGATCTAGCTAGCTTCCACTGTTAATGTCGGGCGAGTAAGCGTCGACTGGTTTAGATCTAGGGTTTCGTGAATCTCAAGTACCCATTTCGATTTTGCTTCAAATCAGGCATCTTTCGAGTTAGCTTCTGCGCTTTTAGACCCTAGGGTTTTTACGGCTGGAACATGTCGATATCTAAAGAACTGTATCCTTCTGAGGAAGACTTATTGTACGAGGAAGAGATTCTTCGAAATCCTTTTAGTCTGAAGCTATGGTGGAGGTATCTGATCGCCAAATCCGAAGCGCCGTTCAAGAAGAGGTTCATCATTTACGAGCGAGCTTTGAAAGCGCTTCCTGGTAGCTATAAACTATGGCATGCTTATCTCCGGGAACGGCTCGATATTGTGAGGAATTTGCCGGTCACTCACCCGCAATACGAAACCCTCAACAATACCTTCGAAAGAGCTCTGGTTACTATGCATAAGATGCCTAGGATATGGATCATGTATCTTCAGACCTTAACGAAGCAGAAACTGATCACTAGGACCCGGAGGACATTTGACAGGGCGCTCTGTGCTCTACCGGTCACGCAGCACGACAGGATCTGGGAGCCGTATCTTGTATTCGTGAGCCAAGAAGGTATTCCTATTGAGACCTCTCTTAGGGTTTATAGGCGGTATCTCATGTATGATCCTACTCACATTGAGGATTTTATTGAGTTTTTGGTGAGGTCGGGTCGTTGGCAAGAGACTGCAGAGAGACTGGCTTCGGTGTTGAATGATGACCAGTTTTATTCTATTAAAGGGAAGACGAAGCACAAGCTGTGGATGGAGTTGTGTGAGTTGCTTGTGCATCATGCCAACGAGATTTCGGGTCTCAATGTCGATGCTATTATCAGGGGAGGCATTAGAAAGTTTACGGATGAAGTAGGGATGCTTTGGACTTCTCTTGCTGATTATTACATCAGGAAGAATTTGCTTGAGAAAGCCAGGGATATCTATGAGGAGGGTATGATGAAAGTGATTACAGTGAGGGACTTCAGTGTTATATTTGGTGTTTATTCAAGGTTTGAGGAAAGCACAGTTGCAAAAAGTTTGGAGATGATAAGTTCGAGCGATGAGGAGGATAATGAAAACAAAGAGAATGGTGTAGAGGAGGAGGAGGAGGAGGAGGAAGAAGAGGATGCTCGCCTTGATACTTCTTTGACAGTGAGAGAGCTTGAGAGGAAGATATTGCATGGGTTCTGGTTGAACGATGATAATGATGTTGATTTACGATTGGCTCGTTTGGAGGATCTGATGGACAGAAGGCCCGAACTGGCAAACAGTGTCCTCCTGAGACAGAATCCTCACAATGTGGAACAATGGCATCGTAGAGTAAAGATATTTGAAGGAAACCCGGCAAAGCAGATACTGACATTCACGGAAGCGGTAAGAACCGTGGACCCAATGAAAGCAGTTGGAAAGCCTCACACTTTATGGGTTGCTTTCGCAAAGTTATATGAAAATTACAAAGACTTGGCCAATTCGAGAGTGATATTCGACAAGGCGGTCCAAGTGAACTACAAACACGTGGACCATCTGGCTAGCGTGTGGTGTGAATGGTCCGAGATGGAGTTAAGGCACAAGAATTTCAATGGGGCGCTCGAGCTAATGAGGCGTGCCACCGCTGAACCATCTGTAGAAGTCAAACGGAAAGTGGCTGCCGATGGGAACGGACCGGTCCAGATGAAGCTGCATAAATCCTTGAGGCTTTGGTCATTTTACGTTGATTTGGAGGAAAGTCTCGGAACTTTGGAATCAACAAGAGTGGTGTATGAGAGGATATTGGATCTAAGAATAGCTACCCCTCAAATCATTCTGAATTACGCGTTCCTTCTCGAGGAAAACAAGTATTTCGAGGATGCATTCAAGGTTTACGAAAGAGGCGTCAAGATTTTCAAGTATCCTCACGTGAAAGATATATGGGTAACTTATCTTTCAAAGTTTGTCAAGAGATATGGAAAAACCAAACTGGAACGAGCTCGAGAGCTGTTCGAGCATGCTGTTTCAATGGTACAGTTTTCTCGACCCTTCTTCTCTAAAGAAACCTTTCCATGGTTGATTTAATCAGACATTGAGCATCTATTTTTCAGGCACCAGCAGAATCAGTGAAGACCTTGTATCTTCAGTATGCAAAGCTAGAAGAAGATTACGGTCTGGCAAAGCGAGCCATGAAGGTTTACGAGGAAGCGACCAAGAAGGTTCCGGATGATCAGAAGCTTGAGATGTATGAGATATATATCGCTCGTGCAGCTGAGATCTTCGGAGTTCCAAGAACAAGGGAGATATACGAGCAAGCAATAGAATCCGGTCTCCCTCACAAGGATGTGAAGACAATGTGCATCAAATTTGCAGAACTGGAGAAAAGCTTGGGAGAGATCGACCGTTCTCGTGCATTGTACAAGTATTCATCTCAGTTTGCAGACCCAAGATCCGACCCTGAATTCTGGAACAAATGGCATGAATTCGAGGTTCAGCATGGAAACGAAGATACCTTCAGAGAAATGCTCCGTATCAAGAGAAGTGTCTCTGCCAGCTACAGTCAGGTAAAGCTCCCTCCTCACTTTTCGTTATAGAAAAACCTCAGTCGTTATCGGAATTTAGGAAACCAGATGGTTCGATTCCCGAGTTTTCCTCCATGGACGTAAATTCTGATGATGGGTTTGTTTGTCTGTCAGACGAATTTCATCCTGCCGGAGAATATGATGCAAAAGGACAAAAGGCTCGACGTGGAAGAGGCGAAAGACGAGCTGAAGAAAGCGGGATTGCCCGAGGACGAAATGGCCGCACTGGAGAGGCAACTGACCTCAGCCACCAGCAAGAGCGTAGGGTTTGTGAGCGCGGGAATCGTCGTGACTCAATCCGGTGATCAGGACAATGTGAAGGCTCCGACATCTATGAACCAAGAGGACATAGAGTTGCCGGAAGAAAGCGACGAGTCGGAAGGAGAAGATGATAGAATGGAGATATCTCAGAAGGAGGTTCCTTCTGCGGTTTTCGGAGGGCTTGCCCGTAAGAGGGATGCAGAAGACGGCAATGGCGAAGCAGAGGATGGCAACAATGGCCGCCTTGGTGCTTTGGCGAGAATCAAGAGGCCGAAGCGAGAAGGGAACAATCAAGATGCAGAAGCGAAGTCTTAGATTTAGCTTCCTGTTTTTTTTTTCAAGTACAAAGAGATGTTTGAGGCAAAAAAAAAATGGAGGAATTTCTTGTTGGAGTCTATTAAATTTCTATCAGAATTACTATGATTGTAGTTTTTTTTTTTTTTGGAGTTTTATTACAACAACAAAACAATTAAAAAAAAACCTCATTGGTACCATGAGGAATATACATATGAAATATATATATATATATATATATATATATCACAAAAATAAGCGCCTTATTTTATTTCCTTTTTTTCATAAATATGAGTAATCTAAGAAACGAACCGGTCACAAATTTCACTATATATAACATTCATAAAGTATAGCATTATGGTACGGAAAAAACTCAGAAATGTGGATGGCGTTCACATCGTTCGCCGACGGTGCATCCTCTGCGATAAGGATTGGCCATCTCCGGCGGTTTACACGTGGCAGGGAATTTAGGGTTGCAGCCATTTCCCATGGATGGATTCCCTATGTACCTGAATGCTTCGGCCCTGCCGTTGCTTCCCGCCATGCATATCACAAAGATAATCCCCACCATTTTCCTCGTAATTTTTCGTATTTATTTAATTAAGATTTTGAAATCTAAATCAAAATTTCAACCGTTTAAAAAAGTCCGAAACAAATAGAGAGAAATCCACCATTAGTATTTCAAAACAGCAAGACATAAAACATTTTATGAAATTAATATGATAGACAAAACGCCAATACATTCAATTGAAGTCCGATACGTATTTAAAACAATAATGATTTTTTATTACATCGACTGCTACACCTCGTCACCATCATCATTATCTTTTGACATACATACATACATATATATATATATATATATGTATATATCATATCATATTGTATAGTATATTATATGTATGGTGGGATTTGATCTTGTGGGTTTGGATGCCGTTCACATCGTTCGGCGATCGTACATCCATGGTGGTATGGATTGACCTTCGGCTTTTGACACGTGGCAGGGAATCTCGGGTTACAGCGAGGCATCCTGTTCCCGTTTCCCATGGCTGGAACCCCGATGACTCTCAGCCCTTCGACTCCGCTGTTCCTTCCCGCCATGCACGTTGCCAGCATTATCACACACAAAATTCGGATTATTTTCCTTAAAATCTCCATTGCAAAACCTTGATTCTGTGCGGTGAATTCGAGTCGCCTCATTGCTCTTATTTATACCACTTTAGCGTTATAAAAAAAATAGTAACCGTACGTGCCCAAGTCAAAACTGTTATTTTTTTTTTGTTTTGGTCAGTAACTTGATCGTCTATTTTCGTGGTAAATGTGCATATATATGCAATACAACCGTTTTTTACACGTGTATAATCTAATTATTCAGTGATGCTCGATTTTTTTATATTATCGAAAATAATCTTTTTACTAAAAATGGTTGTTTCTGTGATTTCTAGTTGTTGAAATGGATTAAATTCTAGATGGATATACACCATGTGATAAAAAAAATATTCTTTTTGTTCTACTGTTAAGAGAGCGTGAAAAATCATGTTTTTATCCCGGCTTGAAATCTAAATATAGAGAAAATTATTTATCTGGATTTCTCCGAGAGAATTTTTTGGATTATAAAGAAAATACAGAAAATATGTACGGAAATAAAACCATACATGAAAGTCAGAGGATGGCAAAGAGGCACAAGAAGCAAGAACTTTTAATTATAATTTGTCTGAATTCTATGCTTTATAGATTTGGCTTGCTATTTTTTTCTATGTACAAAAGAGAAAAGGATCTTCGAGGAGAGATAAATGGGAGATTTCTTTTTGGAGTCTATTAATAAATTTCAACCAAAATTACTATAACTGTAATTTTTTGGAGTTTTATTATTATATTAATGCCATGAGTAATATACATATGATATATATATATATAATTTTGTTGAAGTCGAATCCGATCGAAAATAATGAGGATGTGGGCCTAGAAAATTTAGACTCATTTTATTTTATTTTATATAATTTATTTATTATTAAAAAAATTAAAATATAATTAGAGAATAGTTCTAGTGATTAGCATTATTACCATTTTAATATTTTAATTTTTTATATTTTAAAAATAAAATTAAATTTTTTTATCATAATCTTTTTAATTTGATTTTTTAAAATCGTTTTCTCTTTATATATAATTTGAAATTTGATGTCCTGAATTAAAGTTATAAATTTATAGATTTGTTAGTTACTTTTTGTTTTAGTTATTTATAGTTAAATTAAAAAATTTATAATTTATAATTTAATATTATAAATTATATCGTACCGGTCCCGAAATTGTTTGAGACGGCCTATATATATATTATAAATTGTGATTCTGTCTACTTGTATTGTTGTGCTTCGATATCTTCAGACAAAACGTTAAACATAAGAGGAAGAGGAATTATCTTGTCATCCAAAATCTTAAAAATAATATGAAGTGTATCATTAAAAAAATTGATATTCACTTGCGTATTATATATTTAGTTAAAACTAAATAATATATAATAAAAATAACGTAACCAAAATCGAAAATATAAACTCATATGACCAATAGAAAATTTTCTATAATTTAACTTGATTAATCTAACATATTTTTTTTTAAATAAAGAACCTACTATTTAACAGCAAATTGTTGGAAAACAAATCGAACCGTAGTATATATGCAATTTTGAAATTGATAATTTAGGTAAAAATTATTATTTTATTAAAAAAATAAAGAAAGGGGACACGGCATGAATTCTACTAGGAAGTCCTCTTCATCGTCTCTATCAATAACTCATCAATTTAATCTCACTTTTTAAAACTTGTCAATTTTATAAAAAAAGATCGTCACCCGAAATTCTATTTGGTATAATCCGAACTTTTTTATTTTAAAATAAAAGTTGTGTAATATTTTCAGAACTTCATGGTATATCAATTTGATTTTTATTTAATATTTTTGTTTTTTGTTTAAATTTAAATTAATTCTAGAAAAATACCCCAAATTGAGATATTTTTCCATAATAATAATAACCAAATTTAAAATTTAGCTAATTAATACTCCAATTTACAAATATTTTTTAAATTGATACTCAATGGATGACAAAGTTAACTTTTCATCTTGTGTGTCACATCATCGGACACGTGTCGATGTCACGTTAGATTATTATGTTAATTCCAAAAAATACTCAATTCTTGACTTTTTTTTTAAATATACACCTAGATTATAAATTTAACATAAAAATACCTCAATTTGCCACGTTTTTTCAAATTTATACTTAAATTTATAAATAGTTTTCTAAATTGATACTCACAATTGTAAACGTCTTCCGTGTCCGATCCGACTCGAGTCCGCACTCGGTTCGAAGGTTTTGGGTTCGGGTTCAGGTCGATCCGATTTTTTCGGATCTATATTATCAAACTCGAAATCCGTTTCTATAGATCTCGGACTCGGATCGGGCCGGTTTAGGCCACACCGGCCCATATAATTTTGCTTTGTAAATGTATTTTTTTACGATTTTTTAAAGCAAAATTATACTGGTTGACCCGATCCGATCTGAGTCCGAAATCTATAGGGACAGGCTTTGGACTTGGTAATATAGATCCGAAAAAAATCGGGTAGCCCGAATCCAAAACCTCTGGGCCAAGTGCGGGCTCGAGTCGGGTCGGACTTGAGAAATGTTTACAAATGTGGGTATCAATTTGAAAAAAATATTTATAAATTTAGGTATAAATTTAGAAAAACATTACAAATTGGGATATATTTATGTTAAATTTATAATTTAGATATATATTTAAAAAAAATCAAAAATTGGAGTATTTTTTGAAATTAACACAATTTGATGTGACATCTACGTGGTATCTACATGTCCGATGACGTAGCACACGAGACGAAAAATTAACCTCGTCATTTATTGGGTATCAATTTGAAAAATATTTGCAAATTAAGATATTAATTAGCTAAATATTAAATTTAGATATTATTATAGAAAAATATTCCAATTTGGGATATTTTCTTGGAATTAACCCTTAATTTAAATTTAAAAAATTAAATATTTGATTAAATTTAATTTAAATATACAAAAACACATACAAGGGAAAAAAACGAGTGTGACTGTATCAATATCATTAATATTTTTGTGTTAAAATGATTATCAAAAGATTTTCTACTAATGTTTTAATAATATAAAAAGTAGAAAGAAAAGGACAGGTGTTGAGTGTTGACGAAAAGGACCTACCCACTTTAATTCAATTTTAATTTTATGATTATGAGTTTGGTGTACAAATCTTTCTATCTAATGGGGCCCATAATCTTTGACGTGATTAAGTACCTAATTGCTGTTTCTGTATCTTTGATGGAAAAGTTGGAGCATTAAAATGTATTTAGAAAAAGTTAAGATTGAAAATAAATAGTAGAAATTTACATAAGTATTAAAGCACTTTAATTTAATCTCTAAAATTTATAAAGTTGATAGAGTTTTATTTATTTATTTATATGTAAATTGGTTCTATAGAAAATGTCATAGGATACATTTTTGTTATCATTAATATTATTCTTTAAATAAATAGTATATATCTTTAACTTTTATATTAATCCCACAAAAAACCCCAAACTTGTTAAAATATTCTATATAAAACACTGAACTTGCAATCTCCCACAAAAAATTCTAAATTTGATAAAAACTTTCACAAAAATTATAAACTTACAATTTTCTTCCATATAAAACATTTGACTTATTTTACCAAAATTTTTGCTGATGTGGTATAATGTATTGCTGACATGGCGCTGACTAAATTGTCACGTCAACGTTATGTCATCATTTTAAAAATTAAAATATTTAATAAAAATATATATGTACAAATATATATATATATATATATATATTTGATTAAAATATTTGTATATTTAAAATTTTAAATTACAAACTTAATATATATACAAATATATATATATATATATGTATAGATATTTGATAAAAAAATGTATATCTGTATGTATATAGGTACATGTATATATATTTGTATATTTAAAATTTTAAAATACAAAATTAATATATATATATATATATATTTGATAAAAAAATATATATGTATGTTTGTATATAGGTAATATATATATATATATTTTTATATTTAAAATTTTAAATTACAAACTTAATATATATACAAATATATATGTATATATATTTGACCAAAAATTAGAAATTTATATTTAAATGTTTAAAATGATGATGTGGCGCTGACGTGTCAACTCAGTCAGCGCCATGTCAGCAAAATTTTTGGTCAAACAAGTCAAAGATTTTATATGGAAGAAAATTGTAAGTTTGTAATTTTGTGGAAGTTTTTACTAAATTCAGGGTTTTTTGTAGAGAGTGCAAGTTGAGCGTTTTATATGGAATATTTTAATAAGTTTGGGGTTTTTTTGTGGGATTAACCCTTTTATAAAAATATTATTTCTAGTAATAAATTTACACCAAATGAAAAATATGTAAATAAGTAAACTCGAATATCCATAATTTCCGATATAATCATTCCATTTATTAGTTTTCATAGATCCGAAAATCATGAAATTAAGAAGAAAAAAAACATTATCAAGTTTTCAAATACTTAATTATGCTAAAATATCAAATATTATCCTCTAATCAAAGCAATCAACCATCACAAATTCAACACGCTTTCACTCTCTTCCTCTCTCTCTGCACGAAGCCGACAGATGAAGAAAGAACAATAAAAATCAAAAAGATTTTGCTGATAAACAGCCTCTTTGATTCTGTGGTTATTTGCTCAACCATACGAAAATCAATGATCATCAATTCATCGACACCCACATAACCGATGGTGGGCCACGACAAGTTCTTGGAACCGATCTTGAATCTTGACGAAAGCCAGAGACTCATCGCTGTCTAGGTACCGTCACTTGATCCTGTTTCGTGCCATGTTTTTTCTGTCAAAGGGTCATGCTCTGATCTTCATCCGCCGAAGCGAGACGTAAGCAAGAAACCGATACCCAAAGATCATCGCGACAAGTGCAGCGACTTCTGTTATTCCGTTGTCGATTCTGACGCCATTGATGGATCCGGCGAGGTCCTGATACTGTACTTTGAGAAGAAGCTTGTAGGTGTGGTAATTGAAGGAGATGTAACGAATCCACGAGATGAACACCGGAACTTTCTGCAGGGACAAAGGAGCGAATATTGAAGAGATCTTGTTGTTTTGTTTTGATTCATAAAGTTTCGATCTTGACTGCGTTTCCATGGGGTACGCCGGCATTTTCTAGGGTTTTTTACGTGTAGAAGAAGGCATCGATGAGATAAAAAAGGAACTTGCCTTGACGAAGAATCCACCGGCCAGCATGAAGGTCATGACAGTTACAGAAGCAAGAGTTGTAGCTTTCTTCAGGTCCATAAGCGTGGCTCCAATGGCTAATCCTAGTCCCTGCCAAACAAAAAAAAATAACCCGATATCAGCGTATGATTTTCCTTCCCGGGTAACGCTTTTAGTACCGAAAAACGTGTAAAATACGTTACCTGAGCGGCAATAATGCAGAGGAAAACAGTGAGCATGCTGAAGAAGAACGGACCGGGACTTAGCCTTAGACCTGCCATGAAGTAAACCACGAGGAGGAAGAGCACGGGAAGTATCATATCAAGAGGAAGATCGCTCGTGGTTCTCGCCAGAAAATACGCGCTCAATCTGTACATATCGGCCGCTCTCTCCTTGCTCAGCATCGCTCGTTCTTGAGGGAAAGTAAATATAGCCGTGAATACAGGAAAGAATCCCCAAAATACCGCGATGAAGAACAGCAAACCCGCCTGCAGAACCCGAAAAACGTTAACATTCTCCCGTAAAATTTCGTTACTCTAATTCACATTTCGAGGGTCCATGTATATAAATGTTGTATCATGAATAATTTACCTGATCCTGCAATCCTCTAGGGGTTCTGCTATCAGATTGCCACCAGAGAAGGCCTAAGATTACAGCTGTGGAGATCACTTGTGTGATTCTCAACCAACTGAAATAATCGTGTCGACGCTCTCCATGTACATGTTCATACCTCTATGCTTTTTTTGGTAAAGTATTTTTTTGTAAAGATCTACACTTATATATATATATATATATATATATTATCATATTAGCTAAAAATTATTGAAAATGTTCGCTTAGGACACGCTATCTTGGCCTTCAGTTCTTCGTCGAGTTGAACAGGTTCCGTGAGCTTCTTCTTCTCCTGTTCTGTGACCCGTGTCTCGTAGGCCTCGACAAGATACTGTCATATTTCCTCGTATCAGAACCGGTTTTTTCCGCTTTCAAACCATGTTTCCGAAAGAAAAATGGTTAGTTTTCGTACCTCGTGAACAAGTGCAGGAGATGGCTTGCTGTTCTGGATGTCTCTGCCTGAATTTCCCACCTGAACTCTATCCTCTAACTCGGAAGGTACCGAGATATCGTTGATATTCCCGTTTGCAAGGTCGAGCAAGAACTCTGCAGGGTTCATGGAAATAAGGGGTGAGCACCCAATGGAAGAGAAATACACCATAACTTCAGTTGCTTTCCCGAAGTAGAGCAAGCTTCCTCTTCCTAGTAGAATCAGTTTATCGAATCTGTGGAAGAGTCTGCTCGATGGTTGATGTATCGTCGTGATCACAGTTTTACCCGCCTGCTCAAATAGTTCAACGATTCTTCGAGTTAGCAACTCAAAATCTTGATTTCAGACATCAGAACCATATCAAGAGATGTATGTATATGCTTCAAGACAAACCTCTGCTATGTCATGTAACATCTGAATGATTCTTAGAGCAGTGGTTGAATCCAAACCCGATGTGGGTTCGTCAAGAAATAACAATGAAGGGTTGATGATGATCTCGTTTCCTATCGAGACTCTCTTCCTCTCTCCACCCGAAACTCCACGCACGAATGAACCGCCGATCATTGTGTCTTGGCATCTGCATCCACATTCATCTTTAGGGTCAGGATGTTATGCTTCTGAAATGCCAGAAAACTGTGTTATACCTCTCCAAACCCAATTCTTGAATAACGTCAAGAGCTCGTTTCTCCTTCTGCTCCCTCGTTAGAGACTTGGACAGGCGAAGACGAGCTGGTAAGTTAGAGTCTCTTTCACGGTGAGGTGGGGGAAAAGAACATCGTCTTGTGTCACAAACCCTATCCTGCGAGAGCCCGAAAAACGTTAATTTCCAAACGCTTTCGAAGAGAACTCATTGTATAACTGCTCGCTCGGTTTTCGCTCACTGACTTGCTTTTCAAGAACTTGGAATAAGGCTTGTCATTGTAAGTAACTGATCCTCCGACGGAAGGCTGAGGAAGCCGGCCACTGAGAAGACTCAGAAGCGTTGTTTTGCCGCTACCCGAAGGCCCCATGAGAGCAAGAACTTCACCAGGATCGACATTCCCACTTATTCCGTTCAATATCTCCTTCTCTTCCGAGGAAGTAATCCCTTTAATCACCACTTTGTATGCGACATCGGTGAACTGAAACAAATCACTTAACAAACACTTAGTCCCTGCACCCATAATTAAAGATCTCATAAGATTACACTCAGAAAACCCGTTAAGGGATATCGGCGGGTTTCGGGGGAAGGAGTGAAAACCAGTGGATCACGCACATGAGGAGACATGAATCTTAGTTTATGTTTTGTCTGCGTTGTCTGGTGTGTACCTTGAGGTAGATAGGCAATGTTGGTTCTGCTTGAAACCTGGGTTGCTTGTTTCCTCCTCCATCGTCTTCAGCTGCATGCACACAAGAACGTATGTATATTTTATGTCCATCAATATCAGTTTTTATATGTTGTTGTACGCTGAATGTGTGGGGCCCGGTTTTGTCAAATTATATTGACTTTTATTTGACTGTTTGACAACTACGAAAGAAATATTATCAATTTATCCCAATATTATATTTAGAATATTCCATTGTATTTTTATATTGTAGTTATCAATATAGAAAAACATTTTTTTATAAAAGGCATCAGGTAACTAGAGGGATCAAATACGTAAACCCCCCACGTTTCCATATATATATTGACGCCAATTTATTTTATGACTTTCTTATTCTAACATCTTAAAAACATAATATATTTTAAAAAATAAAACAGAAAATTACTAATCACAATTCTTAAAAAAATGATAACTAGCATTTTTCATGAAATGCGATCTACAAGCTAAATCCTAGCTAAAATATTTTTAATAGACTATATATATTATATAAAACTTTGTGTATGAGTTTCTACTTTGTCAAACTCCTAAAACTAAAGATCCAATGCAATTAGGTAATAATTTGTTTTTCAATTCCTAAAGACTGATAAATAAATAAATGGTAATATAATATGAATATGTATAAATGAGTTGTGAGACTTTGATAATCGCGATGAGTGGAGTTGTATATTATAACCAAAATAATTTCCGAATTGATTTTCCTATGGGAATTATGGCCCAATTGATCCTAGGGTAAGTGGAGAAGCATAATGACGAATTAATTTCTAATTCATATATTATATTTTTTGAGAGGTAATTTTTTTATTAATTAATTTATATTCCTTATTTTAAAATTGCAACCTAAAGAAAAAAAACATAACCCGTTAATCTAGTTTTAATCATGTGTCTAAATTTGAAGCTGCCTATATATCACTATTACACATAATACTATGGTATATCTTTAATTTCTCCGGCTCGTATCTCCTCTCATGCAAAAGCAACACACACCAATCATTTTTTTTACAAACCATCGTTATATCATTATCCGAACATTAAATGACCAAAACACCCTTTCATCTGCTCAAAACTACAAAAACGCCCTTTATCCGACACTACCGAAAAACACAAAAAAAGAATATGACTTACGAATCATCTCGTCGTCGTCGTCGCTGAAGGGTTTGGAGTCGGAGATCTCCTCCGGCGGCATGGAGAATCCGGTGAACGAGAACGATAGCCCGAGCGAAGCGCTCGAGGCTCGGCTCAGTGCTGCTCCACTGCTCACCTCGTCCACTTCCATCTTCAACTGCCCGCTCCTCCCCTTCTTTATACTACTCCTATATGTATATATATAGAATATCGGCGAAAATTAAGATAATATTATAATTTAATGTTAAGATGTGGTTATATATGTTTATATTTTTTACCCTCCACTCGGCGACGATGCAGCGGTTCCCATCATCAGCCTCCGGCTCGACTTCCTCGACAAGGTCCCTCCTGGGGGCGCGGCCGTGGTCAATCCGTTCGCGTCCATTGAGCCATGGGACGATGACTTGAAGGCCGCGGCCAGTGACTCTAGGAGTTGCTCGGACCTCGTCCGGGCTAAGCCCGATCCCAACGGTGGCTTCTCACTTGACATTCAGTCCTAAATTCTAAATTCTGATACCATATTGATGATACATGTTATTTTATCAAAATCATATGCAATATTATCATCATATGATAAAAATAATACATGAAATCATACACATATATTTATGTATGTGTGATGTATATATTAATATATGAGTTATAATTTATGCATGATATGTTGGAATAGATTACGCATACCTTTTGAAGGCTCTTTTGTGGACGAGAAGACGAGGAAAAGGAAAATAAAGTATACCCCCTTCAAGTTGCTTCATCACGGGCTTCCTTACATATATAGTTGCATCTATGACGGTCCAAGTTTCGTAATTCCGAAAGTACCCTCCACCCCACGAGAGAAAAACGAAAACGCCACGCGTTTCGTATTTTAAAATTTTACATTTATTATTATTAACTGTTTTTTTTTTTAAAATAAAAAACATTTGGTAGAGCAAGATGATTATAACATGGAGATTGTCGTAATAGCGATGGTTTTACGAACCCAATGTTTGTTTCCAGCTAGAAGTATTTCAATCACACTTGCGAGTGTCCTTTCATCTCGACCGTACACGTGTTCGGACATCCGTAATCCGTATATTTCTCGGTACACGGAAATTCGTCCGATGTGTTTTTGTGTCAGTCGACGAGTCGACTTCTGTCTTAACACGATCTGAGTCATCGCTATTTCGTACTTATATATATACATACATATATATATGCATTATTCAATTATCATACATTATAATTGACTAAGATAATTGACTAATACACTAAGCGTGCATCATGAATCATGATAATATCCGAGGGTCAAGTTTTTTTTCAACATTAAATTCATATATAAAAATAAATAATAAATAAACAACATGCGCCACCACCACAATTAGGGTGATTAAAATTTCTGTAGAAACAAATATTTTTACCGCACTCTTTCTACAGAAAAATATTAAACATTTTTTTTATCATTCTTAAAGCGAACAATAAATAATATAAATTGTAAAATTTAAGTAAAATATTAGATTTAAAATTCTCTATTCTTATATTTGGGCTTCATTTTTACTATTATAGTTCATTTTTTAAAAACGGGAATATTGATTTTTATACTCAAATTAATCATGTATAACTAATCGTAAATCAAATTTTTATTATAGGAAATAATTCTAAATTTAGTTATTTTCATGTTGCCTTTTATAATATTTTTTGAAACTGTTATTTCAAGTTATTAACTCCACAAGTGTTCGAACCACTTGACGATATAATATACACAACCTTACAAGTTTTTTTTTTTAATTCAAAATTGCCTCACAAAAAAAGGCGATGTTTCCATCAAGAGACGTCAATTTAACAATAGAATACGAACTTTTAACATTAAATTGGGGCAGTAGCCGTATTAGGTTATAAGATTAGCCCTGAAGACAGACAGCAACAGAAGATTAAAAAAAAAAGGACTTGTCTTTTTGTTTTTTGTTTTGTACCAAAAAAAAAAAATCGTGAGGCTTTGGTTCAATATCTTCACATTACCCACGAGAGAGGGCATTCCGTAAAAGTGATTTTTGGAGCTTTCTTCTTTGCTCCAAAAAGAAATAAAAGTTTCCTTCTTATATATTTTTATTGTAATTTAAAATTATTTTATTTTATTTTGAATTTTATTTTCTTGCATTATGTGTATACACTTTGTTGGTCTATTAGTGTCGGGATGGTACAATTGTTTGTATTCGTCATCTCTCTCGTCGTTCTCATCGACACCGTTCTCTTGTCCCTTTGTTTTTCTCGTTGATTGTGTTTGCTTCTTCCTTTTATTGTGTTAAAGTACGACAAGTATTCTCACAAGGAATTATTTGGATTTGATTTGCAGCCAATCGGTAGATAGAATTGATAAGACTTGCGAAATAATTTCTCTTAAATTTTATATTCATTACACGGGCATATGTATATATACACATATAAAAGTTTCATATCATTAGAATATTTAACCAAAACGAATACTAAACGTAATGTGAATCCAATTTGGGTAACTCAACCGATGAAACGACTACGCAAACTATATATTCCGATCTGAATTCGAATCTCAAGTTGGGAATGAGAATATAAATTCTAATCGCATGACTTGTTTCCGACCCCATAATTAATTTGCGCCTCCTCTCATAATATAATATCTGATTACCCAAAAAAAAATGAAACATTCGTATACATCATATCCTAATTAATAAGAAAACTAAGTCCAATGGATTCCATGCCGAATTCACTATTGATGTTAACAAAATAAGAATTCTTTAAAAAAAATAATTACATTAAAATGAATTCAACGGTTCAGATGTTATAACAGTAAATCTCAGCAATCACTTGTTCTGATTCCACTTTTAAGATTTGTTTTTTAATAGAATCTTCTATATTCATGCTATATTACATTCTTAGGGTTTTGCTCGGGTCTTGTCAGTGTATGTAAATGTTCTATATACGCATTAATGTTACTGACCAAAAATAAATAAATAAAAAATGTTGTGTAGAAATAAAAATGTGCCCATATAACTAAAATTTAAAAATTTGAATACTCCATTATAGAACTATGGCTAATAGTTTATTATTTCCTAATATTATACGATGGTTCGAACCCTAATTAATAGCCGTAAATTATAGATTTAAAATGAACTATTAGACGACAATTAAATTAATTGGAAAAAAAATCATAAAACGAAAAAAAAAAGTGCGAATAAGGATGGGATTTATGGATATACACCTTCTCTTTTTGATCTTTAACATATATACATACATTGATGCATTGAACATATACACATACATGCATCGTGTATATATGTATGTATATGTGTATACATAAGGTATGCATGTATATACACGTGAGGACAAGGGCAAATTAGGGCGCAAGTAGTGGACTTTTGTGAGATAGTAATTTGTCAGGGAAGTCATAAATCGCAACAGTGTAAAATGGAAATGCAGCCCCAACGCTTTGTCTTCTTCTTCCTAAAAGGATAACGCCTTCGACCGCTACGTACTTTACAGTTTACACATTTTGTCTGTAACCAAAGTCCAATTGCATTCTGCATCTCTCATTCCGTGATTTGCGTTTGCGTTTGCGTTTGCGTTTTGCTAGCAAACGCCGAAAGAAAAGCACACGATGATATACCCAACATCCAATTGTCCCGAACGCAGAGGTTCGCGTTAGAAAAACGCTTTCAATACGACTGATTTTTTTGGATCTGTTTATACGTCGAATTTTTATATGAAAAATCTACTAAAATGATTAAAAAAATGCACAATTGGTGTCGATAATTCCCAAGAACAATGGTGAAATATATATATGTACGTGCACATATATACGTAGATATATATAATATCAACGTGTGTATCTAAAAGAAAAGGAGGGAAAAGGGGGCGGTGCCGTCCTAAAGGAAGAGGAAGACACGTGACAGAGACGTGACTACGAAGAACCTCTTCTCCACTACACCATCACTCTCTTCCTGTCTGGTCCCATCTTCAAGCTGTCCGAACTTTCACATTTTATATATTCCTTTGAAAAAATACAAAGTGCATTAATTGTTTAATTAATTCAAATTAATTAAGTAGCTTTTTTGATTAATAATATAAGGGTTGATATCACGAACGTCCACAGTATTGGTGGTTCTGACTCGTCTTTCCCACTTTTGTCTTTGCCACGTGGACTTCTTCTCGCTTCTGGACCCTCCACGTGGACTTCCAGATCTTCCACACACATATATGCTATATCCATACAAACACATATGTACTTGTTCATACTATATTGTGTACGGATAGATATATGTTACATTATATTTACACTGGAAGTGTAGAGCGTGCATGCATGTATGTAAATATTTCTCTTCTATGATATCTCTCATGTCTCAATTCACTCGAAATTTTTTAAAAAGGTTCAATCTTTAGTAAAAAAAAAAACTATATTTTAACTGTATTACATATGTTAAAACAATATTGTAAATATTTCAAATACAAAGGGTTGAATATCCATTTCGACAAGTAAATTCAGTAATAGAGGGCGAAGAAGAATGTCAAGATCCTGAAGCTTTCCTCCATTGAATGAATGAATACATATGGCTCTGAACTTACCCGTTCTAATAACTCAATGCCCTGAATCAGAAGCGAGCTTTTGTCATTCAGAAAGAGAGCTTGAAAGCACCAGCCTTTGAGTCTGTTACAGAGTCCCAGAAGGAAACTTTTCCTTCTCTGGCTCTTTTATCTTCAGCCTTCTTCTCTAACTCCTGGATAGTTCCAGGAAAGGCTGTTTCAATGGCATTCCCGAACTTATCGTGCAAATTCACTCTGTCTCTTGTTCCGGAAACGAGCTCTTTCGCATTTGGCTTCTTCAGAAAATCCAGCACGTTCAACAAATTCCTCCTGCGGTTCCCTTAAACATAGTTACATGTCAGAACTGCTCGAAAAATGGCAGTAAAAGGTCACGTTTTCAAGATGGAAAGAGCGATATCGGGTTTATAAATGTGCCTAGCTGCTGCTACCTAATAGTATACTAGACAAGAGCTGCAAATGCATGTGTAGTTCCAAATTCTAGATATGGAACACGTAATCTGAAGATTGAGTTCAAACTGTGTGCATATTCCTTGCTAAAGAGACAGTAGTAAAGGGCCTAAAGGAGGCGTCTTTACCTGCTGACATAATTCTGCGTAATGGCAATCGATTCCTCCAAGTTAATGACCAGATGCCACCACCCGTTAGGTACGAAAATCACTTCCCCGGCTTTGCAAATGCACTCGATAGGTTTCTTCTTCCAATTCTTTGTAGCACCATAAAAGTTCATGAACCATTCGATTATGGAAACAGGGCAAGCCACCTCTGCTCCATCTGGACTTGGATGGACGCCTGGAGGAACAACATCCGGTGGGAACAAAATCCATTTCTTAGACCCTGTGATCACAGCGTTCCAAGCCGATGTTGAATTAGGATCGATGTGGAAAGATGATCCTGACCCAGATGGCCCTATTATGATCCATCTATAATCGGGTCGATCTTTGCCAAGAACGTTAAACAAATCCTCTCTGAAGTATTTAGGAACATCAAACTCCAAACCCAATGTAGGGACTTTCTCTGCAAACCTAGGATCAAACAAGTACAATGGCCTCTCTTCCCTTACTCTATCCGAATACCTAAAATAGTCCTCGAGCTTCATTTCCACAGGGCCAACAGCAAAAGCAACATCCCCAGCCACCTTAGTCAAATAATCTCTCGACCATTTCCTCATTGCAGGCCAATCATCCAAACAACCTTCCAACAAAACTGGCTTATTTGGTTCCTCGAATTTCTCGATAAATTCTTCGACGGAAATGCCTCTTACACGGGTTATATTATCTCTTTCGAGCCACTCCGGTTTCATTTCGAGATTAGCACACAACCAGCTCTGAAACAGATAATCAGAGTAGAAGTCTCTGACCTTTAAACATGAATCAATAGCACCCTCGAACTTGAATTCTGGGTAACGAGTAGCTACATAAGTAGATTTCCACGACCCACCAAACAAGAACTCGCCTTTTAGCTCATCTAACACTAGATTCCTCCACAGCGGCTCGTGATTGGCAAAAATATAGAACGATTTACTCACATTAGCCAAAACACCCAAATGGGTCGCATCCAAAAGCCCTAGAATATCCAAAACCAGCTCATCGGACAGAATCTGGAGATTACCTAATCCGGAGTTCCTCGCGTTCACTGAACCCGGGTTGAAATACAGGTTTCCAAGAGGTTGAACTCCATGGTCGCGTGAAGGAGTTGAATTTTTTAGGTTAAAGCCTTCGTCTTCTTCCTTCTCTTCACTGTCTAGTTCTTCGGCTATCGCATTCTCTGTGTACGGAAACTCGGGTTCACCTGGAACGAGTTTCTGCTTCTTCGAGGACGAAGAAGAAGTTCTGGGTTTGGATTTGGATTTCTTCCGCTTAATGCGCTTCAAATTTTGCATTAGATTCCTGCAGCTTGGCATTATTGATGGCACAGAGGCCGCGAAAAGAAGATCGCCGAAGCGAAGGGGTTTTGGGTTTCAGGAGGCGGTGGTTAGGGTTCGGCAGTAGCGGCTCGTTTTTTTTTTTTTCGTTACCCTCAAATGTTTTATTTTTATTTATTTGACATTTTGATTCCAAATCAAATAATGTGTAGTTATATTCTTAAGTATGATTTAAAAATTAAGGGAAATTATATTTAAAATTAAGAGTCCAAATAAATATAAAAATAATTGAATGTTTAATTAAATAAATCGTATGTAGCTGGTTATTATATGATACAAATCTCACTATCATAATGAAGTTAATCACAAATAGTTGTTTATACATTTGTATATAATACTATCATGTTTACACGTCTTGAAGCATATCTTATAACATAACATGATAAGCCCAAACGCGGAACCTCATCTTCAAATCTCAAAATATAATCCATTTAAATATAGATTGAAATATACCACAAACCTTTTGACAAATTTCATAATTTTACTCGCATCAATCATAAGCAAAACCCATAGATATTAAATTCAAGATATGTGTGTTTGAACACAACGGACAAGAATTACAGAGATCAAACAAACAAAAAATATACTGTCGTCGAGAAGCTAAACTGTAGATTGGTAATAATCAAAAGGCCCATAGTTTTCCCACCAAAAATAAGAATAAAAATCAAATCAAAGAATATGAATTAAAAAAAAAAAGACAAATTATACACATCTTATAATCAAATTCGTGCCTTTGACTTTGACTTTGACTTTTGAGGGAACTATACAAAGGTAGCATAGCTCCAGTTCTCTCCTCCTCTCAAGGCTTATATATCATCAAACCCCACAAGAAAGAAATGCATTCAAACCGTTTCTATTGAGGGAAACACAACAAATGAAGATTGCACAATAGAAGGAGAAGAGAAGAATACGAAGGAGAAGAAGAAGAAGCACTGCACATTACAAACAAATCTCCGCAACCACGAGGAAATGGAAGATCGAAGAGCGAGAATTCACCCGAGAAAACGACTTCATAAAACCATTCACCACAGTATTCACATCCTGTGTTCCGAGCTCGGTTTTCAAACCTGTGTACTCGTGAGACATCTCCACTGTCTTGTTCGAGGGCCTTTGTCTAATAGCATTAGCAATCCCATGTTGTTCGTCGACATCCCATACATGTATCTGCATTTTCACAATCACAGCGCCTGGGAATTAGCCCGGAAACAGCAAACAGATGCGATTAGTTCACACAACAGTCACGACCCTAAGGACCCGTATCGCTGAAAGTCGATTTTCTTAATTCTGAGGACGATTTGATCCACGTTTCAGAAACCCTAGAAAAACTTTCTGGTGCATGAGTGTGTGATCAAAGTTCGAATGTATCTCCTGATAGTTTTTATGTTTTTCAAAGTACTACAAAGCTGGAAGCCAAGCATAAGCATAAACTAATCAGAGTTTGATAGTGTGTGTAATCAACTTACTTGCTTCGGCGAGCCTTCTTTCTCCAGAAAACGAAAGACGTGATCCACTGCAAAGAAAGATCGAAAAAGCGCAATTAAGGTTTGCACTAATGCATTAAAACTAGTTCAAGTTGCTTTAGCAATATAATAACACATTCAGGGAAGTGAAATAAGAAGGAAAATTTACTTTGAAGATAGACATAAAAGAGAAAACTCCAACAACGGAAGGTTTCCTCACGGGCAATCTCCGTTCCGGGGCAACTTCCTTCGATAGATGTTGAGCTATTTCTTTCAAAAGTACTAATTGGGCTTTCTCGGTCCTCATAGACATAATCGCCTGCCTCATGGATTCCCTGTCGGCCTCGAGTGCTTGAAGCCTCGTGTAGAGCTTCTTGATATCGGGATCACCCAGATCAGGCTGATTGAACTGTACCCTGGGAGAATTCATATCGACACCATTATGGACAGAATCAATGGTGTAAACTCTATCACTCATGTCATCTCCTATTTCAGATGAGTCATCTTTATTCTTTGCAACAGTGTTATCTTCCGTGTATGAGACGCCCTGCACTTTCTTGAAGCTGCCATTGTTAGACCTCGGAGAATCGATGAGAAATTCTGGCCTTAGTTCCCTTGTAGTTCCCAGGGGTGAACTCGAACTATCAGCTGAAATTCTCCTGAAATGTCTTAAACGCCTAGGAGTGTGACCGACCACCACTTTCTCCAAAACATTCCTGCTTCCCGAGGAATCACCGTTTAACTGGGTAAAGCTAGGATTTCTCTCCATCTGGCTGATCCTACGCTCCAAACTCTTCAGATGTTCTCGTCCCTGAGGAGAATCGGCAATTGGGTAGTGCTCTACATCTGCAACATCAATATCAGAATCCAAAGGACCCGGGTTCTCGTTCAAATTGCACTTTAGAGGAGGATAGTCATATGTGGGGAGGTCATATTGGGCATCAATATCAATCATACTCGGGTTACGGCTGAATAAGCTCTTCTCACCATCAGCCTCTGCCTCCGTTAGCCCGAAACTCATCATTCTATGCCTGTATGCTTGGACCTCACATTGCAGAGCCTGAATCGTCTGATCCTTTTTATAGTCCGATTCTTCCAAATTCAAAAGCTCTTGTTGGTCGTGTTCCATTTTCTCTTCGGCGAAACGTTTAAACTGCCTAGCTTCCATTTGGATTTCAGCCTTTTCCCTCTGCAACCTCAGTATCATCGACATCGCCTCATTAGCAGCTGTCGATGAAGCATTTCTCTCTTCCTCGAGTTCAGCATACAAATCCTGAATTGCTTGTTGTTGACTGGTAACAGTCTCCCGTAACAATTCGCACTCATTCTCGATCTGGACTTTGGCATTCGAAAACAAGTCCAGGTCCAGCCCCGGGACATGGAATCGGTTATCATTCTCCAACTCCTCGTACTTTCGCTTCACGGAACGGATCCAGGAGCCTGATGAACCATTGTTCAGAGAACAATTGCAACCGCAATCACAGCACTTGATCACATCCCCGGGAGACGAAACCGTTCCAATCTCCATATGTTATATTGTTGTATCCGATTCCCAATCCCAGATTGTATCACAAGGTCATATCACCAATCGTCGAGAGCTATATTACAAACCAAACGTATCCTCATTCCCCAAACCTTTCTCCGGAATCTGGATCCGGAGATCGAAACCGCAAACCTACAGTAATACCAATTGTGCTCCTCAAGCAACCAAATCGTACAAAAAATCCCCAGGTCAATAATGAGATATAGATTATTCAACGGAGGAAAAGAAGGCCTGAAAACTGGGGGAACTCGGAAAGCCGAAGCTGGATTTCGGGGCAGTAATTTTCCCGGGAAATGAATCCAGGTGAAGCTGGTCTGCGGAAAAACACAATTTTCTCGGAATTAGCTCCTTAGAAATTCAATTTTCCAACATAATCCATTCAAACCAATGCGACGACTCTGCCTTCCGCGAGAAAATTCTTCCACGCGGAATATTCCCACAGGATACGAAGAACAAATTCGAGCACGAATCAGCGGAAATCGAAAACTGTCTTACCCTCGAAAATCCAGAAATGGTAGGAAGTTCAAGCCAACGTCGGAATTCTCAAAGGAAAAACAGCTTTTCTCTAATTTCTCCTCCTCTGTTCCACAAATTACACCAAAATCCACACCACCAGAAACTCTCTCCCTCTCTCTCCCCCCTCGCTTTTTCCGGGAAAACGAAAAGGAAAAGCAGAGAAAAAGAAAAAGAAAATAAAAAAACAAAATCGTGTTCGGAGGGAAGCAAGGGAAAAAAAAACCGTGGCAACGAAACGAAAAAGAGCGAGAGATTTCTTTTGCGAAACCCTAAGTTGTCTTCTCTCTGGTCTTCTGAATTTTCGTAATCTGTTTTCTATTTTTCTTATTCTTGTCGCTATATTAATCGCCAAGGCTTTTCATGGAGGTTCGTGTCAATGGCGACTGAAGGTTATTTTTGGTAAAATCGGAAGGGATAGGGAACAATGGACGGTTGAGATGCGCTTGTAGTTGAAACAAACGGCTGAGATCTTCGTCCGCTGAGGTGTCTTTACCTGGGGAATGTACAGGTCAGGAAATCCAGGTAATTAAAATAGATTACTTTATTATTAAAATAATTAATGTTAATATATTTTAACAAAAAAATTACAATGAGTATTTTTATGTAGAGTATAATTAAATCAACGAACGAAATATGAAAAACCCAATTAGACATCTCTTTCATGTTTATGTTTTGTAAAAATTGTAGTTATGGCATTAATTAATATTCTATATATATATATATATATATATTATCACGATTCGAAATTCTAAAAAAAAATTAAAATTTCAGGCGATCGGAATCTAATTTCGTGTTAACTGATATGACATTTGATATTTTATGTTTTATGATTCTTAATTTGTATTTTATTTTTGGTGTCCCTAAGATATTGTCTACATTTATTTGTTTTTAGTACCAAATTGTTAATAGGGTTGAATTCTTTAGTAATCATGCTGGATAATTAGGTTTTATATATTTCCAGAAGAATTCATATTCAGAAGTAATATAAAAAATAACTACATTGAAAATAATAATCAGATAATTAAGGAGATGGTTTATTAGACTATATATATTAGTTAAGGAGTTTATCTAATAAATTGGTTTACTTAATGCATAAGTGAGGGGCATAAGCACAAAATAATTATAATCCCAATTTTTAAAAATAAATAAATTTGTAATCTCACTTTTTACAGTGTAGAGATTTTGTGGAATGTTTCAACTTCCAAAGGCATTTTAAATTCAACGGATTTATTTATTTATTTATTGAGTTTTGGACCAAAAGTAATTCAAAGGAGCAAATAAAAGGCCTGGAAGATATTTTGTTGGGCTGTCAACGTTGAAAAGACTCGTTCAACACGGCCCATGGTTGAATAGTTGGACTTTTTTTGTTCGATTTATTTTTAATTTATTTATTTTATTAAATTATTTGGTTGTAGAATAGAATCGGCCGTCGGGTCCAATCCAATCTCCGGTTTTTGGTTTAGTTTAGATTTTATTATTTTTTTTACCAAATCGATTTTATTATAGAAAGTATTTTTTAAAAGAGAATTTTATTTTATTTTTCTTGTTTTAAGTTTTTGTTTTGGTTACTTTTGTTTTAAAAATGTTTAATGAGTTTTATATTGAAACCTAGAACCATGAAACTCCCAAATATGTTTTTCTATTGTAATATATAGATCAACATGGCCATGTAGCAATAACAAAACGTTTTTATTTTGAAAAGTATATTTTTTTTCTTAATTATATAAACCTATAATTAGGGCTATGTAGCTAATATTGGACTTGCTCCTAAGTTTAATGTAACCATTAAATATTTTCAGTTTCCAACCATGTTGGTGTGTCCCAATCCATTTTGTAAAATACGTTAGAGATTATCCACTTCCAACCGAATCCACCTATGTATGTATGTATGTATGTATGTATGTATGTATGTATGTATGTATGTATGTATGTATGTATGTATGTATGTATGTATGTATGTATGTATGTATGTATGTATGTATGTATGTATGTATGTATGTATGTATGTATGTATGTATTATCAGTTACAACACAGTTAATTTCCTAAACCATTATGTAACAATATAAAACCACGACGTACGTAATAATAAATTGTGTAGCGAACAATCCTAGTAAACCTATAATTATTTCAATTGCTTGTCCAAAGCTCATAACAAATTTAATAATAAATTAAAAAAACAGCTTTAGTTATGTGGTAAAAAGACCATATATAGAATATAACAACACAAATTCATTCCATAATCCATTTCAATTGCTTATTCATATTGCCATCAAGGTTGATGCTATGAAAGAAGAAAAAACCCTACAAATCCCTAAACAGATCACAAACTCAAAAACGAGTTTTATTCTGTGGAATTCTCGATCATAAATCTCTCGACGGCACGAAGAACTTGTTCGGAAACATCTGAATTCGGATCATTTGTGAAGAAACCGTGCTCCTCGTCTTTGAACTCCAAGTAATGGATCTTCTTCTTCATCTTCTTCAACTTGTCCGCATAATCACTGGCCCTGTCCCTGAGAAGTTCCGAGCCGCCGACGATGACCAAGATCGGGTCTAGACTCCATGGCTCGAGCCTCGGGCTCGTCGGTCCTAAGGGATTCGCTATTGGGTGGTCCCTTGTTGCTCCTTTTGGCAATGACAACCTCCAAAACCTTTCAACATTAAGACAAAAATACATCTTATGTATGGATTGTTTTTGGATAAATGGTTTTATCTTATATATATGGATAGTTACATGACTATATATGAATTTCCATGCGCGTATATCTATATCCATATCCCTATATATGTAAAAATAAGATTAATCATTTGCATTTTATATGGAATTTCCAAAACTATGTGATTAGTCGGGTTTTGAACTCCATAAAACCGTTGAACTAGGTAATATATATATTCGTTAAATTAATATTAATTTTCATTAATTTATATAAATTACTTCAAAAAATTAATACTAATTTTAATTATATTAGGATAACTACTCCTTAATTATACATATATATATATATATATAGGGATGCATATGTTTCTAGTGGACATTAGCCACTTTATGCGAATGGTCATGAATTGAGCAGATCACGTTCATTGTTATAATTTAAAGGTAAAAGAAAATCATATGCCATGACGAGGATATATATATATATATGTGTGTGTGTGTATGATGTATGACCCTTATGCCTCCACGTAGGCACATACGTAGACTGTGTGTGTGATGTCAGAAATAGTGATTGCATATATGACAAAATACAAATAATTATATAGCACTAAATTAAACTGATGCAACTTATTGGATAAAATCTATTTGCAACTTGTGTTAAATCATTCAAAGCATTTTAAAAACACTTTGTAGTATCTAATATAAATGGAATTATCATTAAAAGAAAGTAAATAGAGACATTATCAAAAATACCATTTCTTTGTTATTTTGATTTCAACACATACTCTTTTTTAACTGTAACCATGTGATCCACATAATCCGAAATATAGCGTGGTCATATATTGATCTTATTACTCACAATGTTAAATTTATGATATTTTAATCAAATGATTAGTAAGATATATAAGGTATAAATATAATAAATTAATGTGATCACGATAAATTTAACGTTATAGTCAATAAGATCAAAATGTGACTATACTATATTTTGGGTCAAAAGGATCACATAGTCACAGTTAGAGAAAAATATTTGTTGAATTCAAAATAGCAAAATAAGGATATTTTTTATATAATGCCAAGTAAATATGTAGACTGCTTGATAGACAATGAATAATTTCTCAAGCTATTATATACTCTATATATTATTACGTAATTATATATTTTGGATTAAAAAAACTACTTACCTTATATTTTGGATTATAATATTCTATCCCACAACTGCATTTACATACTCTATTATTACGTAATTATATTGTTCTATTGTTCCACCACATTAATATGTAATATAATTCGGAGCCATTAATTAACGCACAACTGTTTTTGTAGAAAACAAACTCCAAATTATTACCAATTTTGGTCTAATTAATATTGGTATTTTGATATATGATTAGTTTATTAAGATTCTAATATTAGCCATTGTAGAAAAGTATTAAGTTATCATAATCTAGTCATGTATGTGTAAGCAAAAGGGATTAGACTAATAAAGTGACAGAGAATCATATTCAAATATGAGATTGGAGACGAAGATAATGGACCGGCCACTATCTCCATATATATTTAGAAAATGAACATGACATGTCGACTGATTATTATTACTATTATTACTTGGTCAACCACTAATCTTCATATGATGGCAGGACATGAAAATGACCTTATGATATGAATATATATTATGTGTGTGTGTGTATATATATTGGGGGGATTAAATTAATATTTTTGGAAAGGCAATTTTGGCGGCATGCTAAGTTAATTGCATGACGCATATTTAATGAATTATTATGAAAAAATTATTCATGATTAGTGGGGTAATAAATAGTAGGGAAAAGGGAAAGCGGCATAACCCTATCAATAATTAAGCATCTTAATTAGTTTGGGTGATCAAACCATATAAAGAGGATTAAAAAAAACTAAAATACTTTCTTGTATGGGTCCTTGGGTATTGGAAGTAAATATCGATAACTTTTTTCATTAAAATATAAAAAAATTAATATATATATATATATATATATATACATATATATATATATATGTGTATGTATGTGCGTATGTTGTGTCGAATATTTGAATCCACACACAAAGAGACAGGCATGCACGTAATTTCGTAATCAAAATGAAATTAATTAGAAAATTGCGTAGCTTTCGGAAAGCAACATATGGCGATACATCAAGCGACAACGCAACGTATATTTGTACCTTAGGGTATTTACCAAGAGGCACTTTCCTCGTGGGAATAGGCTAATCACTTCAATAAAGTAAATGACAAAGACATATATATATATATATATTTGCAAAATGTATAAGTTGAAAGATAGATGCTCGAAATCATCTATAATGTTTCTTAATATATGAAATTAATCTACTATTCAAATTAAAAGCAGTGACTAAGTATAATAAACTATATGTAAGTTATCTGCTATGTTTTTTTTTTGTCAAAAATCCGTATTCTATTTCTTTAAATCGATATAAGTTGTCCCAAAGTTTTATCTGCTATGTTGGTAAATGAGATTATACACATGATAACAAACAAATATGCATATATATATATATATGTAAGTATATCCATGTCGATGTTAATGTATTAATCTTTATTTTTATGAAAGTGTATATAATCTGTTCCAAAAGACGAACACAAAAAAAAAACGTGTAGTGCTTACTTGTCAAGAATGTCCAAGTTGAGCAGAGCCTCGTCAGGACCCTCCTCAGACTTTGTCCTGATCTCCCCACCAAAAAACGGCGCCAACAGAACATAACCTCGTACCCTAACCGGCCTCAAACCGGGCGAACCGACTCCCAACCGGACAGCCAAGTGGTGGGCAATATTCCCGCCCGACGAGTCACCCACCACGTAAACTCGGTCAAAGTCAACTTCCCCGGACTCGAACCACACATCAGTGCCCTCACCGCGAGACTGGCTGCGAACCCACACGAGGGCGACTTGAGCATCGTCAAGTGCAGAAGGAAGCCTATGTTCAGGAGCCAGCCTGTAATCAGGGGCCACGACCATGGCGTTGAGTTCGGAGGCGAGCTTAAGGCAGCAGTTATGGGAGTTGGGCCAAGAGAAAGAGCCGAAGCAGAAGCCACCGCCATGAAAGAAGACGAGGATTGGGAGCTTATGGTTAGGTTGATGGTTGTTGGGTTTGTAGAGACGGAGGAGGAGATTGTTGGGTTTGTGAAAGACGATGTCTTTGAATATAACGGAACGATCGTGTTGGAGAGTGGAGGTCTTATTGGGGATTTTGGAGATTAGGTTTAGGGTTTCAGCCCTCAAGACCGTGCCATCGCTTAGGAGCTGAAGCATTCCCATGCAGTCTTCTGTCACGTGTGGACGTGGAAGTGAACCCATTTTTCTCCTGTTCTTCTTTCTCTACTTGTCTATATAGGTGTATGTATGTGTGTATAGATGCGGGTATGGAGGAGGAATGGGGAGGGGAAGGGTGTATATATAGAGAGCGAGTGGATTGAGATTAGGACAAAAAAAAAATGGGGGGGATGAAGATATATCCATTTGGAGAGGATGGATACGTCTTCTTCTCGAAAGATTGTTTTTTATGATTGGATGTCATAAAGCGTGCGTGCACAGTAAAACGTATGACTTTTTGTTCAAACAAGAGAGAGAGATGAAATAAACACATGCTATATGTATATGTATATATATAATGGTGTGTAATGTACTAATCTTCTTATTTGTATTTAAATTCATGGTGATATGATTTAGGTAAGAAAAATGTAGAAGATTAGTCCAATATTATTTGAATTTATTTTAAAATTTTAGGTATTTATATTAAGTAGTTAAGGTTTTCTACGACAATAAATTAGCTTAAAAGCTGTCTTAAAAAAATAAAATAAATGGCCATGTTAAAAAGAGAGGAAATTGTAAAGGGTGAAAGCAAAAGATGACGTGAACGCTAGCATCATCTGTTTTGGACATACATTAAAATTACACAAAAGACAACACTATTATTACCCACACACAGACATCTCAGTTTCACTGTTCTGGTTCATGCCTTTAGAAACTCCATACTTATCTTCTCTCCTTCCCCGCATACAAAGATCGGCCGGACCCGACATTTACCCGTTGAGTTCATCTAATATCTAGTGACGACCGATAAGATCGGAAAAAAAATGATTTAGGAGTGTTATTTCATGTAACAATCATGATATTTATGGCCGAGAAACTTACCGAAGAGGGGGAAAAAGAGATCTAGAAACAGACGTGAGGAGGGATGAGCTTTCCGGGATTCATGATGTTGTTTGGGTCCAACGCCGTTTTGATTCTCTTCATTGTCTGTAATGCTTCGATTCCGAGTTCCTTCTCCAGGTACTTGAGGGGAGACAACACATGGTATAAGCTGTTGTACTTATTCATGTGGCTGAAGAGTTTAGATAAACAAGAGCTGTTAAAAAGCAGAGTTACCTTCATTTTCCCTGTTCCAACTCCATGCTCACCAGTGCATGTTCCTTGACAAGTAGAATCAAATAAGTTTAGTACCCGAGTAATAATTTTCGGTTTTATGCGCTTTCGGGTTTTAACCCGGAGGTAAAACAAAAAAAAGAAAGAAAGAAAACAAGCGGAGATGCATTTAGAACAATGGCATACTGGTTAGTAGAGAGTAGAATATGGAACAAGCATAAAAGATGGAAAACATTTGCACAACTGCAGCAGCATAAATAGTCTATGTATCGGCTATTTCGTTCGGAAGAAAACTTATTTTAAGCACCGACATTCTCTAAGTTCCGTCATTCTTTTTATTTTTTTTTTGGCGAAGAACCCGTTATGAAGTTCCAGAGAACATTGGTCGAATAACTGCGAAATAGAAAGAACTCACCATCCAAGGAAAGGGCAGTGTGTACCATAAACTGGTTCAATCTTTCAGCTGTCCTTCTTTGGTCTTCTTTGCTCGGATCAAACATTATTATAGTATGGAAATTCCCATCGCCAGCATGCGCAACGACGGTGCTGCATTTGGAAACCAACAAAAAGTCGGCATATTGCTTTAGAAGATCGAATAAAATGACAAGGAATCTGCGAAATACATCTTTGGTGTTCATGCCACTGGGATAATACAGGGATATGAAAGATACCACAACAATTTTGATGCATCGAGCTCTTTCTTTGATCTCGATATTAGCTCCGCAAGGTGTGACAAAGGAACACATACATCCTGGAGAAGAAAAAGTTCCAAACTTCAAGGATCTCGATATCCACACCAATGATTATTTTGTAAAAGAAACATATCTTCCCCTAGGTATAAAAGATAAGCAAATCGATGCCAAGTGTTATGATGTAACATAACCAGAAGCACTAGATGGTAGCTATGATAGTTCATCCTGATCGACAACAATTTTCAGAAAACAACCTACCGAAATCATTGCCTCGTAACCCGGTGCCATAGCAAAACAAGCCCAGAGCGCCTCCTTTCTGATCTGTGTGTGAGAGAGAGAGAGTCTATGATCACTGATTTTAGTTGGGAACTAAACCACTTTACGATCTTCCTATGAACAATACATGGATTCATGAAAAATAAAAGAAACACCCAGACAGCCATTTTGTAGAAATCCAGTTGTAAGTAATAACTAGTGTGGTAAAAAAACCAGCATATCACGAAAAATTCTAGGACTGGATACAAATCTTTCTATATCATTTTCCGCAATTTATGTGTTTTCCTTCTTGTGTTGGAAGACTGAGGCCCATGGTGATGTTAGGGGACATTACCTTCCACAGTTCCTTCTTAGCTTCAGGTTCTTCTGCAAAAGTGAAATCTGATCCATTGTGTTCAGAAGCAATCTTCTGAACAATTTGAGTTTGCTCACGTGCATAAGCCTCTAATTAAAAAACAAAGAAACAAAATGATTGTGTGTGATGGGAGAAAATCGTGTTCTATGAAATACAACTTTATTATCAATTATACAAAAAATACGAGATAAAATAAGGTTATGTTACCAGTTCCCACAAATTCAAACATCAGCGTAGGAACTTCTGGCAAGCTCTTTCCATTTGCCAAATTGATAGCCCTCACTTGGACCTCATCTAGGAGCTCCACTCTTGACACCTGATGAGGATGCAAATATAATGTGAAGCATTCGGACAAGAGCTTTTAATTGTTCAAAAGCAGAGGTCCAACCTGTATTCCAGACAACATCGCAGCAATGGCAACATCTGCTGCATCCTTTATTGTAGGG